ATCCGACAGGGTAGTATCGTCATAATTCAATGTACAAGACGTAGTTGTTAATATAACTCTCACAAAGATCGCTTACCTTCTCACGTACGTGTGAGTAATATTTTTGTGATGAGTCAATATCAATCATTGCTTTTTTTTAAATATAGTTTTATGATGGTGAAAAAATTAAAAAACTAACTTTGAGTGCACAAAAAAAATTTTGTGTCGGGGAATCTCGGGTTGAGGGTGCTTGTGCTGTACCCGATTTTTTTCCATGATACGTAACCGAAAACCAAAATGTAAACACATAGGCTTACAGAAAACTCCACGGGCTTTCAGAATATCTCATTGGTTTTTAAAAACTATTTTGTTATGGTGACAATATACGAGAAATACCGACTGAAACTATTTTTTTCCGGGGGGGATACATCAGCTATGCAGTTTAATAAGTGGATAGGAAACGTTAAGTATCAATGTTTTTTATCAAGAATGCTATGGAAAAATGTTCATCGCCTTGTACTCGACATTGACTACCACGAAAATATTACAAAACCATTTCTCATCGTTCTTCCACAATGCTGTAATCCACTTATTGCGAGTAAATTTTAATATGCCAGATTGTTATCCATTTCCTACAGTTTTTGCATGGAAGATTACGCAAGATTTCTACGCTAATTCGCTATTACTTGTTTAAATACGTTTCAGGGAGCCATAATTCTACTTCATCATTTAATCATCATGGTAAAAAAATTACAATTCGAAATGATAAATACACGTTGGTAATTAATGAAAGCGACAATGTTGTATTGGGTCACTTTGATTTCATGGAAATCAAAAGTTTTCTTGACAATGATCTAGAAGCAGATTCCCGTAAGTTCAACTAGAGCAAATTATGTATTTTGTTATGGACTTATAACGTACTGAGGCTGATCATGCAAAGAGCATGTGTAGTTTAAACTTGATGAACCAACAATCACCAGATAATGGTGCCAGCTTCTGTGGTTACGGCCAGAGTGTCATAAAACACATATGGAAAAGATATAAGACAATACATATTATGTTTTCGATCAATATAACAGCCGACCAACGTTGGACGATCATTAAGCCAATATTCTGCAAAACGTTTTAACAATTTAAACTTTGATCTCACTTCTTTTTCACAGTCTTTGTCGAAAAACTAAAGCGTTTTTATGTTCAAAAAATCAGTTCAGTTATACTAAAATCAGCTCAAACGAAATGTTTAAATAATTAAGATGCTCTACAGAACCACTGAAATGTCGTTTTATATTTCAATAGAAAAAAGTAGCTAAGTGAAAATATGAGATAACTATAGAAACAAAAAGACACGAATATGTCAGTAAAAGTCGCTCTCATTATTTGACGTATATATTATTACCTAAAAAAAAGCAGCATCACATACAGAATAATTTGACTCCTAACTAGGTTATATCACTATATCAAATTTGGACACATCTCGTATACAGTGATTTTGATTTCTCATGAAACTACCCGTATTTATCTTCAAACATTGCTTCAACTATGTAGAGGCGGACAATGCCGTCATTCTGTGTCAATTTATAATACTATGCGTTCCAAAATACAAGACAGTCAGCCACTTTTTGAATAATTTTTGATAGGAATGAGATAGAGACGCTGCGATATTCGCTGTTCAATAGCCAAGACTTGAGCAGAACTTTCTACAAGCAGAAGCAATTTTTGAAAAATTCCAGAGATCGGATTTCTAGAGGATCTTTGGAAAACCAGCTCCGTTCTCAGAAAACTAACATACAATGTTAGTAATTTTTTTGCATGCGTAGATAGTCCGGACGTTACTCTTTGTGTAGAAATGAATATAACTTCGCCAGAGGCATTGTTGTGAAAAACCGGTTTTTCGCCTGTTACTACCAAAAATTAAAATCCTTATATCTCGATCAAATCTCAGGCTGACTCAAGGAAATTTTCAGCAAATGCTCAGGACAGCTCATAAAGCATAATCGAAGACGAAAAAGGTGAATGTGAGCTGGGCTTTGGCTTAAGGTTTTTCAGAAACCTTCTGAAAAACCTCAGAGCATCAGTATTCTGCTGGACCACTTTTTTGGCGTGGTCAACAACATATGGCACCTTTTAAGCCTTTCCTGAAAATTTCCTTGAGTCAGTCTGAGATTTGATCGAGATATAAGGATTTTAATTTTTGGTAGTAACAGGCGAAAAACCGGTTTTTCACAACAATGCCTCTGGCGAAGTTATATTCATTTCTACACAAAGAGTAACGTCCGGACTATCTACGCATGCAAAAAAATTACTAACATTGTATGTTAGTTTTCTGAGAACGGAGCTGGTTTTCCAAAGATCCTCTAGAAATCCGATCTCTGGAATTTTTTCAAAAATTGCTTCTGCTTGTAGAAAGTTCTGCTCAAGTCTTGGCTATTGAACAGCGAAAATCGCAGGTCTCTATCTCATTCCTATCAAAAGTTATTCAAAAAGTGGCTGACTGTCTTGTATTTTGGAACGCAAAGTAGGCTTCCGTCATCCATAGTTTTAGCGAACATGAATCAACATATATACACACTTGTTTTAAAGTTTGAATTAATTCGTCTTGTGTTATACCAGGTGGAAGCAAACAGTGAAACAGAAAGTGAAATTCGTTTAGATTCGACACCTTTGCTAATAATCCATCACACAATCGTTTACCATCGATATGATTTAGATGATAGTTATCATTTTCATATGCCATAGTTAAACGAAGTTGTTTCAAAGAAGTAAAATTAATCAAAAAATTCTCCACTATTTCGTAATCCCGAACTATGATATGATGATAGGAAAATATCAGTTTAAGTTGCTACATCAGCCACCACGGTTGACTAGCCGTTCATTTTACGTTATGATCGAAGATAGTTCCTGTATTAAAAGAAAATAAGCTTTGTTCAGAAAATGTCATTGAACAATCTCTGAAAACTCATACCTTCATTGAATCTAGATATCGTGAGAGATTAAGAAGAGAGACAATCTTTAGTTCCAAAGCCATTCTTTTTTTAACTTAAACTTTGACTTAAACTATCCTAGAGTACTGCTACAAGTTTTATATCGGGTTTGAATAAACACCAAATAAAAACTCTGTATCAAGACTAAAAAATCTTTTGAAGTGATGCGTCGATAGAGAAGTATTGCAGCTTCCTAATCACGTGATTTGTTTGGCAAAATATATTATCCCTCCGATGAGTCGGATTTTAAACTCGATCCGAAATTTTTTCTTCTCCCATCTTATGGGGAAACTACCTTTACCCGACAAAAGCTCCACATACTTTTAACTATCACTTTACCCGCAGCAGCTGATCTTGCACGGCTAACTTGATACATTCATAACTCCATTTACAGTGGGATATAAACTATAAACTCCATTTATAGTGTTAGGATTTCCATGGAATTACTCCTTAGGTTTTGTTTTGTTCAATCTCTCTTGGATATTGTTTTTGTTTTCATTTCGGTGCAGGTGTACCTTATTTTTTCTGGGGGGGCAGATGTAAAGAACCGGTATCTTCTTCAGTCCTTCAGCGCTTACTGTTCATTCTCCGTCTCATCCTCTCTTGTTCATTGTTAACCGTATATGTCACTCTCTCTCTATAATTCGTCTCTATCTTGTGTTTCATTCTCTCTATATATATTTTATTCTCTCTTCTCTGACCGTTCATTGTTCACCTTCTAGTACATAATTCATTCTCGCTCCTAGATTGTTCACTCTCTCTTCTATAATTTCCATTCATTGTCTCTTACACCACATATACTCGTGTACAGCACGTATAAGGGGTCTGTTTTTATGAATAAACGTACGAAAGGATCAATTTCCTTCACAACCGCTCTCCTTTTGTGTTGTTCTTTTATTTATCAGGAAACAAATTAGATGGTTTAGATCGTTTAGCCGAATTGACAGAAGAACAAGATGTTAGCGAAAGTGCGAATGAAGATGCACATAAAGCATCACAATATGGCACAGCAAGACAAAGGAGTAAAAGAATGTTAATACAGCGCTCAAAAGAAATTGTTGAACCTGCTCAAACGCCAAAACAGCAAAAGCAAACACAATTATTATCAAGAAGTTTGTTGAACAACCTTCTGATTCAAAAGTTGACAAAATTGCAATTTTCAAGGCGTCTGTATTGAAAACGAAAGCACCGGAGACCGTCAAAATTTTACCAAATATACTTTGACATATAACCTATTCGATAATATGGTTGAAAGTCTTATGGTCGACTTTGTTTCAAATGGGTGCTACAGCAAAGTTCAGGGTTTTCTAGATTGGGGCTCTTAGTGCGCCATCTATTACAAAATAACGAAAGCATGTTTTGAGCTCGCGATTGCGTGGTTCTGTATCTCACACTGTCTACTATTTATGGGAAAATCTTCAAGGTTAAATAACCTGTTGTTACTGAATTACAACAGTTTAAAGTTGGCAAATTTTCAAGATGGCGGAATCCACGTTTTTCGGGGCTTTTCGTAAAATATCAATATCTCTGCGACGATACAACTTTTTGATTTGCGCCTTTTACCAAAGTTCATTAAAATATTTGGTCTAGACGAGCCCCCTACTTTGGAAAAGTTTTAAGAACATCGATTGAAGGCTAGTCCGCTGTAATAGGTCGTAGCTTACGTGCAATGGCTCTTAAGCTAACTTTGACGGGTTAAAAATTGGGTGCGGTAGCTGCAGGCGCCCACTTCACGATTTGTTTTTCTGCTTGGGGAGTGCAGTGAACATTTCGATCAAAAGAAAAAAATTTTCAAACTTAGAAGCAATATCTATCGTGTATCTCATATATCAACATTATATTGTTCTTTTTCGTTCTCTCCTTTTATTTAGAAAAATATCTCTTGTTCACTGTCTAGCGTTTCTCACTTTTCTTTTTTCATTTCTGTGAATATATGTATCGAAACACAGAAAGCACTTGACGCGTCTGAAGAGATTCAAGCGGTAACAATTTTGAAGGCATCCCTTAAAGGCACCAAATCTAAGTAATTTCCTCCTTCCATCGTCTGAAGTAAACATGTTGACTGAGAAAGACTTGAATTGATGTCTTGTAAAGACGGTTATTTTAAATTAAACTTAATTTGATCTACTCTTCTCTAAACAAAATCCGTTCACCTTGGGTGACTTTTTCGTTTTGTTGAAAAAGATATTTAGAGCATGCATGGCGAAAAACATGTCCTGGAGTTAAGTTGTACAAAGAAAAGGCTTCAGATTAGAAGAATTGTTCGTCGTGGTCTCTGGTAAGAGGTTAAATAGGTCAAGAACGAATATAGATATCAGACGAGCCAAATGGATTATTGTCGCGAGTTGTGTTTAATATTTTCATTATATATACTCCTAACCAACTGCAACCTTTTAATCAATTTCAGTTATAATTTAAGTTGACTTTTTTTATATACAAAGTCTGCAATCGTTTTGCTAGATTGTTTTCTATTTAATGAGGCTGATTCTTCATGATGAAAGCTGATGAATTGTAGCATATCTGATATTTTGGTTATATAGTTTGTACTGAGAATTGAATATATTAAAGAATACCCATAGATATGTATTTGTATTTGTGTATGAATAACGCGAACAAAACAACTGAAGTTACAAAATGTAAAAGCAAATTGGAGTTTTTGCTGACAGAAAGCGAAAGTTTGTTCTGTTTTGCAAATATATTAGATTGTTGTGTTTCTTGAAAATAAGGAAGAGAGAAAAGAGAATAGTTTTCATCTATACCATTGCGTAGATAAATATTTACGTAGAATAGAGTCTATGTCTACGTTGTAAGAGTTGAATTATTTTTGACGGTTTCCTTAATTAGATTTTCGTCAGATTTTTGAATTTTCAATGACAATAAAAACTGCCATTGGGCCTTTCATACTCGACAACCTATGTTAGAACCTGAAATCCTTGAAATATTATCCGGTCGAGCTGGAGTTGTTGAAAAAGTTTTTAAGCAACTTCTATATACTTTAACTATAGTTAAAGGAGCAGAAATACGTTTTCAAGATATTAAAAAACGGTTTTTTGAGCGTAAACATACGTACACTGAATACATCGTCTTTCCTCAACGAAAGGACATGATGAGCTGAAAGTGAACTTATTTCATACAGAAAATTTCACTCTGTCGTGTACAGTGTTTAAGTCACAGTGAAAATTTCTTATACAAGGCAGAGCTCTTAAATAGAACCAAAACAGTTATACTTGAACAAATGCGGATTGATTGATAAAGAAATGTTTCTTCAAATTAGTTTTAGAGAAATCTTGTACTTTGATACTCTCTTTTATCAGTTCTTATTTATACAGACTAAATATGACCAATTTACCTTTTCGTTTCACGTTCCTCCCGTTCGGCAGAAGAGGTTCTTTTCTTTAATAGAAAAATAAAAACTGTGTTTGAAACTCAGCATCAAGTCGGTATTGTTATCAGCAAATTTCTTCTCAAACATTGGACTGCAATTATTTTTTTGCAATATATGCAATCATGTGGACAGCAGAACGCTTAAGTTCTTCATGTGCAGAGAAGTTCTTTGACTATGTTAAAGGATAAAGAACGTCGTCCAGGTAATGATTGTGTGTTTTAACGCTCACTATTTGCGAAAAGGAAAGAAATCAGAGTTTTTTACCATTTTTCATATATATTTAACCTGCATAAGCAATAAGTTGGAAAAAACCAAGTTAACATTTATTTAAATTGCACGATATTTTCAGTTTAACAGTTTTTCTCGCATCCTGCACGATTTCGAACTGCCGAGAAGTCGGCTAGTAGTTTGTAGATGATTGAAAAACATTTATTCTAAACGTTCTAGATAATTTGGAACTAATTACCCTGGTGTTGTTTATAATACATCGAACAGAAAAACAATGATAAAAGCTTTGCCTGAAAATTCAACTTTGAAGTCAAAATTTCAACCTTTAAAATCCAAGAGAGTCTTAATAAATTCTAATGTAAGTACAGTGAAAAAGCAGTTTACAGTATCAAAAGAAGACTTCCATGCAAAACATGGATGGTTGATTGAAAAAATGAGAAACTCTTCGTTGATCTCACGTATACATACAAATGCTGTAATTTCATCAGCTGGTTTAACATATATTGAAGATACCGATCGTCTTCGATGTGATCAGTGTCAGATTGAAATCTCCAATTTAACGAGCGATATGAATCCATTTGATGACCATGCAAGGCAAAGTCCAACATGTCCTCTGGTGCATAAAGTGACTAGTAAGCAACAGCAACACGAAATTGTAGAAAGTGAGCTATTTGATCTTTCGCAGCCAATTCTGTCTATCAAGCGTTTTTCTTCCTTTGAGGTTCTTCCCGATCTTCCACTGAAATGGATTCACAAAAACTTCAGAAAATTGAAACATCGACATGTATAGGCGATACAAAACAAAAGCAGCAAACAGAAGGAGAACAAAAGCAGTGTAGTAAATTTTCTCAAGACTTATTTGAGACTGATGCTATGCGACAAGGACGTGAACGAACTTTTTCTCATTGGCTCCATAATCTCCACTCTAAACGGCAAATGATCGAAGCAGGCTTTTTCAGTTGTAACGTTGGTGATAGAGTCATTTGTATTTATTGCAATATTATGTGTCAACAATGGACTATGGATACCGATGATCCGAGCGAAATTCATAAAACATTGAGTCCAAATTGTTTCTATGTAAAATTGATGTTAAGCAAGAATGCTTTTACCAACAATATTCACATTTTAAATGAGGTACGTCAGCAAACTTCACCACTTTTAACAACTGTTAACAGCATCCATGCTAATAACAGTAGCAAAATCTGTTCTCACGAAATTGTACTGACGGCTGCGTTCAATGTAACTTATGCAGAAATGCCAAAACGGTATGCTTCATTCACTTCATGGCCTCAAGAGCCGTTACCATCTGTAGATGATTTAGTTAAAGCTGGATTTTTTTATTCTGGAAACAAAACGATCGTTATTTGTTTTTACTGTAACGGATCTCTTCAAAATTGGGGTCAAAAGGATAATCCCATGATTGAGCACGCTCGATGGTTTCCGCAATGCACTTATGCTCGCCAATTGTGTGGCGATGAGTTATATAGAAAAATTCAAGAATCAAAACGAGTTGCTCGAGGTAAAAAAATCGACGTGTTGCTCATCCCACTGCTCTACTGTAGTAAAAAGTATTGTTTGTAGAACGAACTGAAGCAAACCAGACAAATACATTTTTTCTATCAGATATTAGTGAAAATTCGAATAATACCACTTCAGCAAATAGAGATACGCCAGATAGTCAACAACTATTGATCACAGATGAAGCTGCATTATCTCGTCTAGTTGCTGCACGATTAGATCTACCTATTTCACAAGATTTGTTGAGTAAGAATTTTAAGTTATCAATTATTAAACGTTGTTACG